GTTAGCTCTGGCCGTGGTCTCCTTCCTTTTTATCACATGTTTGGTGGTTATAATATCAGTGAAGATCTACAGATGGAGACAGTCCCGCCTCCTGTATCATTCCAACCTCCCTGTGATTCCTTATTATCCACCACGTTACTCGGACACATTAGGAACTGCGACTTTACCACACATGTACAATTACGAGGTGTGCAGGACGACCGATTCCAGGAAGAGTGATAGTAAAATCAGAAGTGCGGGTAGTCAGAACGTGTTGATGATGGACCCCTGTTCTGGAGGGACAATGCAGCGGATACAGAGTGAGAGGAGCATCCTGGATGAACCTGATCCCCCTTTAGAGGTCAGAAAACTTATTTGTGCACAACAAACACTGGTCTTGTTATATGTATTGAGAAGCATGTGGAATGTGTTGACTTTCATTGTTCTTCATTCATTTTAACCCTTCCTATGTCCATATATATAATACACACACAATGTGAGCCTCTTTACATGGACTGCCTTTTTTCCCTCCTCTGTATCTGACCTGGTTCTAGTTATGTATTCCAGGACCATGGCTAGCGACACAGTTTTCAGAGCTGCATTTCTAATCTCTCTCCTTACCTTCCTTAGATATAAATATATATTTCCTTTTCCAGTTGTTGTTTTTTATTAAAAAACATGTGCTGCTTACTGCCATATTTTGTTTTATTTGTATAACAATTCCCCAGGCAGATATTCTTTTCAATTAAATCTACAAAATGTACACTTCAGCTGCAGCACTGTCCTTCAGGTGTCTTATCATTTTCAAAACCATTATATTTAATTCATCTTGCCTTGGACCGATTTTTTTATTTCACTGTTATTATTTGACAACACTAAGAATGAAATTGTATGAAGTGAAGTACATTTTCATTTTTTAGATAGTTTTTTTACTCTTAGTGGCACTGTTGTCTCAAATCCTGATGAATGAGCACATGATTCCATCTGCACCTCTTTTTTAACATCTCTATATTACAAGGAGAATTTGAGGAGCACGGACAAATTTGTTTAAACAGAGAGAACTGTGGTTCAATATAGGAATATTACATATATTTCTAACCCCAAATTATTTTTGGAGTTTAACTGTTTTATACCCGGTTTAGTGCTGATCTATTCCAGAAATACTGAGAAGTATGCTGAGCTGAACAGAGAAAAAGGAGTCATTCTTGTTAAGGAAAGAGTCAACAGAGAAACCGTATGTACAGAGACCATGGTTTCTGCTTTAGATTTTCAGATTATTTTGATTAATCCTATGGTATTTTTAATCCTATGGTATTTTACACAGTTATTAGCGATATAATATTGAAAGATATGACTTAAAACCCATAATTTTGTTATTAATGTGCCGAGCAAAGCTGAAAGTGATACCAATGTAGAGAACCTTTTAGTTTTATAGTAGGTAAAGATACACATTAAATCATTGTAACATATATATATATATATATATATATAAACCATACTGAAAACAAAATAAAAAATAAGTTATTAAGGTTATATTTGTTCATTACTGTTGCTCTTAGTATTACTGTAACTATTTTGATATGTCTGTTTTGATATTAAAATAATGAATCATTCAAATCATTTTCAAGAGGTTATCAATACTTCTGAATTAATAAAAGGTGTGTTTATAGGCGTATTATGGGGCACAAGTTGGTAGAATATTAATTTTATCTCTGTTAAACATCAATGTCTTAATATAACCTGCAAGTCTCACTACATTGATACCTTATTGAAGTATTACTTTTAGTTTAAGGGAAGAAAAAACATAGTTTAAGGCAGGTTGATTAAAGGAACAGGTTTTATCAATATTCAAAAACTTGAGAAAGAACAGATTGTGATTTGTAAAATTGTTATGTTACAAAATCAGAGTTAAGATAATTGTAATTTACAAGATTTGTTTTTAAGATTAGAATTAACAGCATTTATATAATAAAAAAAAAAAAATAGATTATAGTCATTTCCAACATGTTTAAGACCCAAAGTTAATGGTATGTACAAAACCATAAATAATTTACAACACTCATGTTTTTAAGACGAAGTTAACAGCATGTTTTGTATAGACTCTAGAGCAAGTTAATGCTCTGTACAAAATACAGCATTGTAATTTAAAACATGTTTTTAAGACACAAAGTCAACAGCATTCTCATTCCTGGATATTAGAATAATTGAGAACCAGGAGTAAGCACAGGTAAATACATCCACCTCTGCTGTACCTATGATTATGGGCTCTTTTCCCACATCTTTACTAGAGGCCCCTTTTCATAGTTTGTCAGTAAACAAGCAACAGTGTACAGCTGACTGATGTTGACAAATAGCTCAAGAGGGATCTCAGAATAAAAGAGCTTACAGTATGTTATTTCACTCTGCATATACAGCGCTGCTAATGCACCCTGTGATGTGCAATTTCTTGTCTTTCCTTGACCTCAGGAACATATATCCAGGATCTTTAAAGAGAAAGGGTAGCCTGTAGATCTTGCACATCACAAACTCATCAACGAGGAAACCTCAATTGACCATGATGGGCATCCCAGTTCTCAACAGGGAGATGATTCCAGATTTCTCGCATGATCCGTTGTCACGGATTGATCCTGCATAGAGTTCCTCATGTGGAACAATACCGATTAACCCTTTGAGAGTGCAGTGGGACTTGTATGCAGAGAACACTTCACTCTGGAGTAGAGGAGTTGTTGGACACTGGCTCTTTAGCTAAGTGAATGCCAGAATAATATTAGTGTATGTGTAGTCTGTCTGTATGTGCAGTCCTGGCATGTGCTCCTTTATTTTCTCTGCAGGCATCGATATTCTGATTGCACCAAGGAAAGTGTAGAGGAACTTGCTCCAGGTTGCGATGATCCGGCTAACTGTGGACTGATGAATTCCATAACCGTCATCCAGGTCCTGCTGTTTTGAGCCCAGAGCCAGGAAGTTGAGGAAGCTCCTTTATTGGTTGCAAGGATAGAGTCTGTTCAAAAGAAATTCAATGTTACATGAAGTTTCTCTGTAAAAAAATAAAGTAATTCACCATAAAACAGCTAAAAGAAAATATGTAACCCCAGTTGGATCACTGGTCACTCGTTATCAGGCTGCTGTGTGCTGTTACATTCTCATATACACTTGCAGTGATACTTTTCATGTTTACTGTTGAGTTTGTCCTTGATTGTGCTGGCACAGCTTGGTGGACATATTTTCAAAGGGCTGCAACGATTAGTCATGATTAATCGATTATTGAGATAATCAACTAATCTAGTCATCCATTAATTGTTAAATGGAGTACAGAGACTCTATAAAACATACCATTTGGATTAAGAGAAACCAGCATAGAGCAGTAAAATATACCAAACTTGTAAATAATATTTATACACTATGCATTCAATGAAAAAACATTTTCAGTCTTTCAATGTGCTCTGCCTAGTTTTAGCTTCACCAGGATTAAATTCTGGATTAGAAACCTTTTACTATCTGATTATTAATCGATTAATCACATTTGAAAAATAATCATAAGTTGCAGCCATAAATTAATAGTGTGCAAAAAGTATAATATATTGAAATTTTAACTAACAATTTCCTTCCATTAATCACAATCTTCATAATTTTGTGTATAAATTTTCATTCATTTTGAATTGTACTTACTACTGCTGAAATGGGCTCTGGGAAGGTTCCTTGATGAGCATATCTCACATGGAACATAGACAGCAGCACAGGCTGTATCAATTCCCAGAAGTGCATAGGGCAGGAATAAGATTCAAACCTTAAAAATATTATTTTCATTAAGATATGACAAGAGAACACACCACTACTTCTTTTATTAATTACATTCTAAAAACAATCAATCTAGCAGCTGGACATCCGGATTTTTTTTTTTTTTTGGGGGGGGGGGGTTGGCTGTCACCAGGGACATTATGCATCTCTCCCATCCTTAACCTTAATACGGTAATCATTACTTTAAAGCTGTGGCTGTAGGCTTAACATGGGTATAACAAAGTAAAAGTCTGATGGAAAATCTATCTGGTAAAAAAAACTAATGTCTTGGTCGGAATGGGCAAAACCGTGGATGCCAAACCGCTGCCTTAATGCCATTGATGCCATGTTTTCCCTCAAGCGCTCTATTTCCTCTCTGATTAATATTATTTTTCGTCCAAAGCAAGGTCTACAACTGCAGAATCAGGGAGGGAGACATAGTCATGGTCGCTGAAAGGGTTTACTCTTAAAACAAAGTTCAGCTGTAGAAATATTTGCGACTTTTAGAAGTTTTTTTTTTTTTTTTTTTTTTCGGATGCGCCATCGGTTAGCTGTGGCGGATTAATCTGCACTCCGTTAATACCGGAAGTAATAATGCAGCTGCAGAATCTAGCGGAAATACGTCATTGTTTTGTTCTAGCATACTTTCTGAGCTTTACAATTATTAATGTTTTAAAAAATATAAAATTATTCAACAGTTTTTTAATATATTAAATATATGTTTGAATTTCTTCATATATATAAAACACACGCTTAGATTTTGTTTTAATACAAATAATATGCATATTTTAAAATTTAATGAAATCTAAATTGATCAAGCTGTACTCAAACTTTGGCAATGATTTCTCCTTCAAAGCTAAGATGGTTTACTGATCATAAATTTATTTATTTTTCATTCATAATATTTTTATTGTTCTCAATCATTTAGATTGTTCAATCTTTTTTTAGCTGCATTTTCTATAGGTATTTGACATATAAAAAAATGTATTGTACTGTATAATATCATTAATTATTATTTCACTCCTTTACAAATTATACGAGTTGGGAAATGGTGTAATTTTCTTTTTAATACAATTTTCTTGTGGCATCAACAATTGCGTTTATGCTTTGTTTAAACTATAAGAAGTGGGATAATAATCCTTGGGTGCTGTTTGCAGTTTCATGTTAAGAACTCTTAGGGCCGCTGTTGACCAGCATGCTGACGAGTGAGTGCACTTTTTTTTTTCCACCAGCATCGTCTATGTTCCATCCTCATAATAAATGTTTTGCACAAAGGAAAGACGTTCCTCCTTGAGTGAAATATAAGCTACTTCGGGGAAGACATCTCATATTCTATTTTGAGATTCTGTTTTGGATTATATAATTCACCCTTGCCTGGATTTTCTCCGAATTCCGGACATTTTTTTTTTCTTTTTAATCGCGGAGATAAAGGTCTGATAGAACAATGAAAGAAGCAGCACTGTATTTTGTCCTCGTTTTATTTTCTTCAACAACTGGACAAGTAAGCTACACAATACCGGAGGAGATGCCAAAAGGATCTTTAGTAGGTAACATTGCGCAGGATTTAGGTTTGGAACCCAAGCGTTTAATATCTGGCAAAGCTCGGATTTACACTGCTGACAATGAGGAATACGTCGAGCTGAACAGAGAAAGAGGAGTTATCCTTGTAAAAGAAAGAATCGACAGGGAGGTAATCTGTAAACAGATAACGCCCTGTGCTATACATTTCCAAATCATTCTGGAAAGTCCTATGCAATTTTACACGATTACTGTTCAGGTCACAGATATAAATGATAATTCACCAACATTTGAAGGGGATAAGATTGAATTAAAGATTAGCGAATCAGCCGTAGTTGGGTCAAAATATGAATTGGAAAGAGCTCTTGATCTGGATGTAGGAAAAAATTATCTGCAAAGGTATGAATTAAAACCAACAAATAATTTTGCTCTGAATTTGCAAGATAAAATTAATGAGAATAAAAACGTCGAGATGATACTGAAGAAGCCTCTAGACAGAGAAAAACAGGAACAGTTAAATCTTGTCTTAATCGCTGTAGATGGAGGAGAGCCGCAGATGTCAGGAACGATGCTGATTGTTGTTACGGTTTTGGACGCTAATGATAATGCTCCTATTTTCACACAAAAAACATATAAAGCCACAGTCCCTGAAAATGCATCAGTTGGAACAAATGTTGCTACTGTAAGAGCGACTGATGCAGATCAGGGCTCCAACAGTAAAATAACGTATTCAATAACAAATACCTTGGATAATGTGAGAAAAATATTTAAAATAAACAATGCCAGCGGTTTAATCACTTTGATTGGAAATTTAGACTTTGAAGAATCGCGCAATTTTGAAATAAATTTGCGTGCAAATGATGAGGGAGGGTTAACAGATTATTCTAAGTTATTTGTCGATGTGCAAGATGTGAATGACAACCAACCTGAAATTAACATAATGTCGAAGTCAAACGTGATAGCGGAAGATGCGCCTGTTAACACGGTGGTTACGATAATCCATATTGAGGACAAAGACACTGGAGAAAACGGTAGAATTAATTGTTTTATCAGCGAAAATGTGGAATTTAAGTTGGAGTCTTCAACTGACAATTTCTATACTTTAGTAACAGACAGTGAATTAGACAGAGAGATACATTCAGAATATAACATCACAGTGACCTGTTCTGATGAAGGAGCGCCCTCCCTTTCCAGCCACGTCACGTTTACTTTGCAGATATCTGATGTAAATGACAATGCGCCTGTATTTGAGAGGAGCTCCTATGAGGCCTATATTCTAGAAAACAACGCACCAGGCCTCTCTATATTTACAGTGAAAGCCGCAGATGCTGACTGGAAGCAGAATTCCCGTGTTTCTTATATTTTGGAGGACTCCTTTATCAAGGGGATACCAGTCTCCTCATATGTATCAGTCAGTGCTGACAGTGGAGTCATCCATGCTGTGCGCTCTTTTGACTATGAGCAGATCAAAGATTTCCAGTTTCATATCAAAGCACAGGACGGAGGCTCTCCTCCACTCAGCAGTAATGTGACTATTAAAATCCTGATACAGGACCAGAATGATAATCCTCCTCAGGTTCTGTACCCAGTCCAGACTGGTGGCTCTGTAGTAGCTGAAATGGTGCCTCGTTCAGCAGATGTGGGCTACCTGGTGACTAAAGTAGTAGCTGTTGATGTGGACTCTGGACAGAACGCCTGGCTCTCCTATAAACTGTTAAAGACCACAGAAAGGGTTCTGTTTGAAGTGGGCTTACAGAATGGAGAAATAAGAGCAATCCGTCAGGTGACTGATAAAGATGCTGTGAAACAGAGACTGACTGTTATAGTGGAGGACAACGGGCAGCCCTCTCGTTCAGCTACAGTCATTGTTAACGTGGCGGTGGCAGACAGCTTCCCTGAAGTGCTGTCAGAGTTCAGTGACTTTCCACACAACAAGGAGTACAATGATAACCTGACTTTTTACTTAGTCTTGGCTCTGGCTGTAGTCTCCTTCCTCTTCATTACGTGTTTGGTGATAATTATATCAGTGAAGATCTACAGATGGAGACAGTCCCGCATCTATCACTCCAACCTCCCTGTGATTCCATATTATCCACCACGTTACTCTGATACTTTGGGAACAGGGACTCTACCACACCCGTACAATTATGAGGTCTGCATGACGACTGACTCCAGAAAGAGTGGCAACACGTTCTGCAGAGCTGGTCAGAACGTGTTGATAATGGACCCCGGCTTTACAGGAACAATGCAGGGGATACAAAGTAAAAAGAATATCCTGGATGAACCAGACTCTCCTACAGAGGTTTGAGAATTTTCTTATTACATGGAAATCTTAAAGTCAGCGCCATTATCATTTACATGTTCTACATTTGTAGCTGCATATTCTACCTATTTGCATGGGGAAAAAAATATTGTTTAGCAACAGTATTCAGCAGTTTATTGTGGATCATCATCACATGTGCTTTTTTAGGCTTGTTGATTATATAAATATTGTTTTTTTTATTATTATTTTAATATATTTTTTAGAGAATTTGTTGTTACAAACATTGACACATTTAATATTTCCTTTTTATTGTTTTAAATATAGTCGTTTGAGGCTATAATTCCATCACATATTCAGGAAATATTTGGATATAGGAAATATAAAAGCAAACTTTATTAATATAAAAGCTTATAAGATACAAATATCACAACATGCTTTACAATAAATAAATTCAACCCAAGAATAAACAACATTCACTTCAATGGAATTTTGGAGCTCAACGTGCACTTTTAGCATTATTGCATCTTTTTATTTCATCAACTTAATAAAAACATTGCTCATTTTAGACAAGAAATCTTTTTGAAGTTGGTAAAGGCTTAGTCAATATATAAATTTGACAATTAATTATTTTTTATGGTGATTCATTTTATTGTCTTGATATAATACCACTATCTTAAATTCATTCTTCCTTCAAGCAGAATACATTAAATTAGGGATCATCCTGGATAGATTAAAGACACCCCCTAAACAGACACCCCCCCCTACACACACACACACACACACACACACACACACAATTTGATGATTGTTATTATTGAAGTTTCTGAAGCATTTCAGTTTTGCGTGTTTCATTTTTTTATGGTTGGTTCATATCTAATCTCCCGCTGTAAAATATGGTTTTCTGCATTGCGTGGCTGTCTGCAGTGCACAAGTTTGTACTCTCAGGGCCGCTGTTGGCTCATGCAGAGATCTTTTCCCTTTTTGATGCACTGAACAGAGAAACACTTGCGCATGTAACCCAGAACCGTTCAACAAAAGGACAAGCGATCATCTCCGTGGATTCTCCTTATGCTTTTGGATTGCATTTTTTGTTGGATCATCGTATATAAGCGGATACTTGGCGTTTAGGATTAAACACCTTTAATATTTAAACCTTTTTTACGCGGATAACATCTTGGACAGAATAATGATATGGCAAGTATTGTTGTTTGTCCCGTTTTTTCTGTTAGGCGGGGTAGCGGGGCAAGCCACTTACTCGATTCCGGAGGAAATGTCAAAAGGTTCCATCGTTGGTAATATAGCGCAGGATTTGGGGTTAGATGTGAAGAGATTGCAGTCCGGTAAAGCGAGAATTTATACAGAAGATAAAACGGAATACATCGAGCTGAACACAGACAGGGGACTCCTACTTGTGAAAGAAAGAATCGACAGAGAGGCGCTTTGCGGGCAGTCAACACCGTGTGCTTTACATCTGCAAATTACACTGGAAGATCCGATTGAATTTTATTCTGTTCATGTCGAAATTAATGACATAAACGACAATATGCCCACATTTAAAAAGGAGGAGATGAAATTCAGGATCAGCGAGTCAGCTGTGATTGGGGCTAAATTTGTATTAGAAAGAGCGATGGATCTTGATGTGGGTGTGAATGGGTTGCAGAGTTATTCATTAAAACCAACTGATAATTTTATTTTAAAGCTTCATAACCAACAAGACGGTAGCAAAAAGGTTGAGATGGTTTTGCAAAAATATCTCGACAGAGAGACTCAGGATCACATCGTGTTAACTCTTACTGCCAGTGATGGCGGTGAGCCTCAGCTGTCAGGAACAATGCGAGTGGAAATTTCTGTGTTGGATGTTAATGACAATGCCCCGCTTTTTACGCAGGAGACATATACAGTTACAGTTATGGAAACCACTCCTATAGGTACTATTTTAAGTACAGTCAGTGCAGTAGATGCAGATGAAGGTTCGAACGGAAAAGTTGTGTATTCAATAACAAACACCCTGGATGACGTTCCCAGTTTATTCAAAATAGAGGAAGAAACCGGCATTGTGTCTTTAATTGGAAAATTAGATTACGAGAGGACACAGCGCTATAATATACATGTACAAGCTAGTGATGACGGAGGACTAACAGATTCCTGTAAGATAATTATTGAAGTTACAGATACAAATGATAATCAACCTTCCATAAATATAATGTCTAAATCAAAATCTGTGACTGAAAATTCCAGACCAGGCACGGTGTTTACGATAATTAATGTCCAAGATGCTGATTCTGGAGATAATGGAAAGGTCGAGTGTAGTATTGATGAAAACCTGCCGTTGTTGATAAAATCAACGTCGAATAAATTTTATAGTTTGGTGACAGACAGCGATTTAGATAGAGAAATTTCATCTGAATATAATATAACAGTAACATGTTCTGATAAAGGAGTCCCCTCCCTGTCCAGCAGCGTCACTCTCACCTTACAGATCTCTGACGTCAATGATAACCCACCTGTCTTTGAGAGGAGGTCATATGAGGCTTACATTGCAGAAAACAACGCACCAGGTCTCTCTATTATCACACTGAAAGCCAAGGATGCTGATTGGAACCAGAATGCCCGTGTTTCTTACATACTGGTGGAGTCCTCTATTAACGGTGTGCCGGTCTCTTCTTACGTGTCCGTTGCTACTGATAGTGGAGTCATCCATGCAGTGCGCTCTTTTGACTACGAGCAAATCAAAGATTTTCAGTTCTGCGTCAAAGCACAGGATGGAGGCTCTCCTCCGCTTAGCAGCAACGTCACTGTAAAAATCCTGATTCAGGACCAGAACGATAACCCCCCTCAGATTCTGTACCCAGTCCAGACTGGGGGATCTTTAGTGGCTGAAATGGTGCCTCGTTCTGCAGATGTGGGCTACCTGGTGACTAAAGTGGTGGCTGTTGATGTGGACTCTGGACAGAACGCCTGGCTCTCCTATAAACTACAGAAAGCTACGGACAGGTCGCTGTTTGAAGTGGGCTTACAGAATGGAGAAATGAGAACAATCCGTCAGGTGACTGATAAAGATGCTGTGAAACAGAGACTGACTGTTATAGTGGAGGACAACGGGCAGCCCTCTCGTTCAGCTACAGTCATTGTTAACGTGGCGGTGGCGGACAGCTTCCCTGAAGTGCTATCAGAATTCACTGACCTTCCACACAACAAGGAGTACAATGAAAACCTGACTTTTTACTTAGTGTTGGCTCTGGCTGTGGTCTCCTTCCTCTTCATCACATGTTTGGTGGTTATTATATCAGTGAAGATCTACAGATGGAGACAGTCTCGCATCCTGTATCACTCCAACCTCCCTGTGATTCCATATTATCCACCACGTTACTCGGACACTTTGAGAACCGGGACTCTACCACATGTGTACAATTACGAGGTTTGCAGGACCACTGACTCCAGAAAGAGTGACAATAAGTTTGGCAGAGATGGGATGCAGAACGTGTTGATACCAGATCCCAGTTGTACAGGAACGATGCAGCGGATACAGAGTGAGAAGAGCATCCTGGATGAACCAGACTCTCCTTTAGAGGTTAGAAGGGTTTTAATTAATCTTGTACTTCTTACTGTTTTTAAATCTCAGGTTTTCAGATCAATACCAAAAACAAGAGGTTCAGAAATAGCCACTGGGGTATCATAGAACAGGCTTAGCAGTAATTGAATTTGACCAAGCAGGATGGGCTGATCCATTTTGACCCAACCAATATGTTATTATATTCTAGCCAAATTATAGGTTAAATTAGCTACAAATTTGAATGATTTCAAACATCCATATCTATTATTTCTTCTACCCAAATGATGTGTCAAAATTTGTGTTCTTTTAACTTTATAATTTGTTATTTCTTCTACCTAAATGGTGGGGGGGAATTAACCACATCTTTTGTTTCACCAGTTTGATACATTTGTTTAGTCATTTTTTTTAAATGCTTGATAAAACTGCCCAATACCTTAGTTAATTCTAACATATTACACTACAGTCATTAGGAAAATAAATTGAAATAGACTTACCCATAACTATGAAAAAATACATGTCAAACTTGGTGATGCAATGTATGTTTTATGCAATAAACAATACTGGAATCTTTACAAGGCATCATCTTGAAATGTATTAATACTTAATATGTACAATACAAAAAGGAGGCAGTCAGGTTGGAACAGTTTAAATTGGGTCATTAAATAAATGCACAACAGTGAGAAGAGCAACAAGCCAACAGTCAATTGGTAGCAAGAAGCTGTCCTTGAGTTTGTTAGCTCCACTGGTAGCAAGCGTTCGAGTTTGAAAAAACTTTACCAGTTCAGACCCCTCTCCTGGCATTTCATATACTGCACACAGCAGGAATCCCCACCCATATTCACACTGCTTTAGGTATTTAAGGTGTAAATAAAACTGCCTTTAAGTAATCATTGATGGCTATAAGCAGTGTGTCATGGTCCAATGGCTTTCCAGCAGTAGTGCCAGGCTTAAGATGCATGCTGATCATCTACTGGTCTAATAACATAGGGAGGAGGTTTGGATGAGTTGGCCTCATGGAGGTTCTTTACCAAAAACAAAGAGAAAGTGAAAATGAATGAGTAAGGAACAAATGATTGGTTTGAGTTAAAGAACAGTTATGTGGGCTAAAGATATAATTATAACAATTATCACTGCTTACATGTAAAGCAATACATGAACTTAACCAAAGTATAGTAGTATTATTCTCAAATAAAGCATTATATAAAGGTTTTAATCTAAACCATTTGGATGAACAGGTATATTAAGGATGGGAGTCATTTTGAAAAGCTTTTCTATAATTTAAAAGAAGGCCCTTGCAATATTTTTTATAAAGACATTGTTGGCATGTATGTACATCTGACAATAGAAATAATCCTTGTAAATACTGTGCTCTCAGATATGAATATTGTATATATTTATATATATATATATATATATATA